CTATATTATCTGCTATTTATGCTAGTCCTGTGATTCAAATCCCATCAAAATCCCAGTGACAGGTAAAGTCCAAGGATTTAACCTGCACGCAGGGGTGGCTGTTCATATGAAGACTGCACCAGAATACCCAGCCTTGCTTCTACACAGAGACACTGCCAACTAGACCACTCTCCTGATCCACCCGGACAAGACCATGTTCGATTTTTTCCAAATAAGTCTTTTAGTGATCTTGTTTGAACTGGAACTGTCACATCATTGGAAATAAAAATAGAATAAAACATTGAAAATCATCTTTAACGTGTGTTAACCTTTTCTTTTTATGTGTAGCTCAATTACAAAAAAAAAATCTATATTAAATATATATATATATAAAAGATCAGCAAATTACATCACAATTCCGTTCAGTCCTGGCACCACCACGGTACACATTGCATCTCTATGCTCTCACACACTGCATCTCTCTATGCTGATTCAGAGTTTAAAAGGGCAGAGCTCATAGTTACGTCTGACAGTGAGTCAAGATGATGGCACAGGATAGAGCAGTGTGGATTTATAATATTAAAGAAATATTCCAATCACTTTAGTCACTACAACGTACTGTAGTGGTTATGGTGGCAGGAGTGCAATGGTTTTTAAATGATTTGACTTCTTCTCTGTCTGAAGTAGTGGCAGGCCCGGACTGGCCATTGGGCAAACCGGGCAAATGCCCTGTGGGCCGCGATGTCCATGGGCTGAGGCCAGCAGGGAAGATCACATGATCTCCCAGGCCAGCCCCTGCAGGTGTCTTCATGGGACGGTAGGGGGATCAAAGATCTCCCTCACCGTCCCACAGGCACTTTACTGGGCAGCCGGGAGGGAGGAGAGAGAGGACCCGGGAGCTCTATCTAGCAGCTCCTCCAGGTCCTTCCTCTTGCGAGATTAAAAAAGGAATATACATATTTGCCTATATTTGCACCCTCACATACACACAATGCACCACAGAGATACACAGTGCACCCTTCACACACATGCTGCACCACACACACACACACACACACACACTGCACCCCAGACACACACAGTGCACCCTTCACACACATGCTGTAATACACCCTTCACACACACACACAATGCACCCTTCACACACACACTTCACCCCTCTCACACACACACACACACACACACACCACATAAACACAGTGCATCCTTCATACACACAGACACACACACTGCAAACTTCACACACACACTGCGCCACACACAAAAACAGTAGTGCATCTTTCACACACACTGCACCCCTCCTACACAGTGCTCACCACACACACAGTACCCGTCACACACACACACTGCAACGCTCACAAACACACATTATGCCTTATACACACTACACAACTTACACGCACTATATTCCTTGTAAACACTCTGGATGCTCTACACACACACTAGATCCCCTATACACACTCTGAATTATCTACATATACAAAAGAACCCCTATAGACATACTGTGCACCCCTCACACACACAGTGCACTCCACACACACACACACAACATGCCTAATACACACTACACCACTTACAAACACTACATCCCTTGTAAACACTCTGAATCCCCTACACACACTCTGGATCCTTTACACACACACAAGAGATCCCCTATAGACACACTCTTCACCACCTACACACACTACATTTCCAACATACACACTCTTGATCCCCTATGCACAGACTAGATGCTCTACACTCAAACATGCACACTACATTCCCTAAACACACACTCTCTACAATTCATACACAAACTACATCACCTACACACACACATATGCTACAGTCCCTTTGTACACACTCGTTACATCCCCTATACACACACACTCTCTCACACTCTTCTGTCTCTAGCCACACATATTACACCACAAACACATCACAACTAAAACCGACCAATTTACACAAAACACCACACTACAATCAGTTCACTCTATAAACACGCAATCCCACAAGCAGCCTCCAAACACATGCACATTTCACTTTCCTTGCCATTTTGTCCTCTGGTATCCCACTTATGGAGACACCAGAGACAGAACAAATACAGGGCCTTTTTCCCCATGCTAGAGCTCTTCAGCAGAGCTGAACCAACATGCTTTGAGAGGGGGCGTGTTTATCATTAGTGATTACAAAACACCACCTCTCTGGCCCTGACCCCTCTGTCTGGTCCACTGTGATTCAAAAATGCCAGGGCCGATTTTTTTTTCCTAGGAGATGGGGAGTTGAGGACCACAAGAGCACACTGCAGTGTTGATGCTGCTTGAAGTATTCATGAAATTGTATTTTTAACATCTCAGAAACACATATTTGTTAAATATATGGGATAAGTAAACATCATATTAAATATTCTGGTGTGACAGTTCTCCTTTAACCCCTTAAGGACCAAACTTCTGGAATAAAAGGGAATCATGACATGTCACACGTCATGTGTCTTTAAGGGGTTAAAGGGACACTATAGACCTGTCCCTGTAAGCTGATTAGTGTTTACACTGGAGCTTAAAGCCATCTTTGGTGGCTGTCACTCTGACAGCCCTTAGAAGGATTTCCTGGGTTCAGTCCTGCAAAGATTGCAGGATCGACGCTCAGCATCTCTATGCTCTGCATGCGCCCTAGCCTCCTAATTCTTCCCTATAAGGAAGCATTGTATTGGCTGAGATAATCAGGATTGATTGATTATCTCAGCTAGGGAGGTGGGCGGGGGAGTGAAGGTAAATAAATCTTAAAAAAAAAAAATTACTCCTATTTCTGGTGCCTAATAATCCAAATAGGTGGTGTAACACTATGTTATAGTTATAGTGTTCCGTTAAGCCTCAGTGAAATTGCTGCATGACGGTGACTCAATCAGGGATGCATTTAACAGATGTCAGAATATAGATTCTTTTAAATGATGTTAAAATGAGCAGCAAATAATCATGAAACATCTTGTGTTGAATGTTTAATCTTTGGAAAGCAATCCAGCCATATAAATAGGAACGTTAACCATGTTGTTGTCTTTCTTTCACCTACCTCCTCACTGTCTCTGGTTTCTGTTCCTTCATGTGTGGGGAGAGGCACAGCATGGGGGGCCTGAACCTCTAGGGGGCTCAGAAAGAACTCTGGACGCTGGGAATAGATGAGATTAGATAATTTGATTTAGAAAATGTAGATAAACACAATGAGGTTAAAAGAACACTTTCAAAATAGATGTATAATTCACAAAAATCGGTTTAGTAAATAAGCCCCTTTATGTTTGCGTATTTGCAGAGCACGTGTTAAATTGACGTGTTGACAGCCTGATACCTTCTGACTGTGTATCTGAGCAGAGAGGTAGGTAGCTGCATATATTATCATACAGCCCTGCAAGCCCTGCGTGTGAGTAAACCATCACAAATGTGTGTTAATTTGCACTGCGCCATTTGTCTTCGCACAAAACATTATAATAAATTGTGTTCAGATCACCTTTGCATATGTTTTTGTGAGTATCAAGAACTGAACATTGTGAAATGGCTAATCTCTCTCCCTTGCTCATCCATGCACTTTTTAAAAATTGGACCATTAGTTGGTAATGGATGTTAATGACAACGGATGGGGTTTGTCTGCTATTGAGCAATCCTCTGCGTGTGTCTGCATGCGCCCCTCTCATTACATTGTCTAACACATGGAAGAAATGAACAGCAGGGATTAATAACAAGTGCAATAGTTTGGTAGATACCAAATGTTTAGAGATACTAACAATGCTTCCATTCCTTTTTTTTCAAATCAATATTGGTAGCTTATTTGCTAAACCAGGAATTTTGTAGAATTGATGAAGAAATTGTAAATTTTAGGGTCCCATTCTCATATTTTTCCAGCTAAGCCATTTTTTCCACCAATGATTCCCAGTTCAATGAATAAACTACATTACCATTTTTTATTTTTTTTATTTTTTTTAAAATAATTTTACCGAGGGTCAATCTTCGCAGTGCAATAGCTTGACATTGGTGTTTGACAGTAGTAAGGAGAAGTAGGAACATGACAGCATAATTTTCTAAACAGTCATGTTTTAGGAAGAAAGCAAAGTATTATATATTCAAGGACCAATTTAGGCACCATAATAACTTAATCAAAATGACGTTGTTATGGTGCCAGGAATTTTCCTTTAAATATACATATTATGTACATATTATGATGTACGTGAATCAGTAAAACAACACCATGTAACTTCAAAAAAGTTACTTAGGTAATGAATTGCCTTATAGGCTTAAAGGCCCATCTCCCCTTCTGCCACCCAACTTTTATATTATAACTAAACTATTATATGTGTCCCCAAATGTTTTAACCCTCAGAATGCCAATGGTGTGCCATAGATATTTCTTTGATTGAATATTTTAAACTTTCGACAGTTATATGTTCTTTTCCGGCTTTTTCCTGGATTCCAGTGCTCCCATTGGAGGGGGTCTTCAATGAACAAAACAGAATTGTGTGGACCTGGAGTATCTGGTCCGATATGGGGAACTTTCCTAGCCTATAGATGAAACACTTGTTGTAAGGCACTATAGAATAAAAACACTAGTCTAAAATCGAATATTTCACTCATTCCCCAGTGCAGAGAATTGCTTTAAGCTGTGTGTCTCTGAATTAATTCAGTGCCTAACATTAAAGGAGGGGGAGGTTATTTATTGCAGCTGAAGGGTGAGAGACCCCCTGAATTATTCAAAAGGAGCCCCTCCTCCTCACCCTTTCTGCTGCGTCTCATGGGGGAAATTAGGCAAAGCTTCTACTCGTCTCTCCTCTATACCCACCCTGAGGGGTTCATATGAAAATGTATCGACAGCTTGTTAGTAAAGATTATAAATGAGACAAGAGGGATGATGGAGAGAGCTTAGGAGTTTGAAAGATGATGTTTAGTACAGTGCCCCAGAACAGGCTAGTGCTATAATAATAGTATTGGAAGGCAGAGAGACAGGTACGATGCTGCACTGTTCCCATATGGTAGAATTTCCAATGTTCCATTATTATATTTTCTAGATATGGAATATATACATACACATTGCTGCTACCATGGCAACCAACGGGTACCACTCATCAGAGAAATAAAATGGAAACAGCAGGATGGAAGTGAAGAAGGTTAAGTGTAAAGTGCTCAGGGGAGATCTCACCTCCATTCTCAGAAGTAGCAGTTTTAGAAGCACAGATGGTAGTTCTCCAGAAGCGGTTTTAAGACCCGAATCCTGTTGAAACAGAATTTACAAGGAGTAATACATTAACATAGCTTACTGGTCCAACATTCCAATCACCCAGTTTCAAAGCCAACCTACCACCTTTAAACTTACCTGTATGGTTACCCCAGTAAATGTCTTTCCTTTGCTGTTACTGTCGGACATCAGTTCATGGTAGACGTCCATGTCTAAGGGGACAACAGAGAACCCACAATATTCCGACAGGTTCCAGGGGACGTGTCTAGAAACTGAAGAAACAAATTATACAAAGAAACAAGTCAAAATGTCAGCGTAGGTTTTAAACAGAATGCGGCATCTATTCGAATTCAGGGATTTTGTTTACTGTATGCTGTGCTGTTTGCATCATAGCTTTAATGCATTTTGTTGACAATATCATTGTGAAAGTGTTCCCTTTAGTACATTTTAGGATGGAGTATTGCAAAACAGCATTTCTGATGTCTACAAGTCCTTGCCATCATATAACAAACACTGGCAAGCACTTCTTATCATAGATCCAGTGTGTGTAATATGTCAACTGTGGAAATGTTCAGAGAACGCATAAGCTATTCAAATTATTTAATATTATTGGATAAACAGTTTTGAACTATTCAATATTTTGAAAAATATTTTAATATGTCGATATTTTGCATTATATTTTTAGACCAGTTCTTTTTTATATATTTGTATATTTTGAAAAAAAAAAATTTATAATTTGAAAAGCTTATCAAAAAATATTAAATCAATGCCAAAATTATAAATATTTGTTTTACATGTAAACAAACAATTCTGGGTTAAAGGTCTACATGCTAAAAAATAAATTTAAAAAATCTCACAAATTACAAAGCATGGTACTTCTAAAAGTTCTATTGATTATTGCCGAAATCCCAAAACAACCCCTCAAGCTGGTCAGTGTATTTTCCTTTGATCTCTATGAGATGTTAGATTATTTGCCATTTGCATGCCAGAGGGAGCTGCATGATGAAATATATTGCTTCTTGAGCATTAGCCAGCCAACCAAAATGACTGAATAATTGGTGAATCCAACTGTGCTGAAACAGGGATGTCTTTAGAAACTGCACTATGAGTTAGGAACCGCTGACCGAGAGGTAATGTATCGTAAAATATTCATGAAGAGCCTACGTTGAAAGACCAAATAGAAAAACACCAGAAGTTACCATTTGTGACTGTGTAATACTCCAGGACCAATGCTGCCCCTTCACTAAAAAGGGTAACTCCATCTCGCCCCTGAAACAAGTAGGAGGAATTCCAAATAGGCTGAGAATTTGGAAGTCCAAGACCGGAGACCTTCAGGATTAAAAAATAAGACAAAACAAAAAAAATTGAGCAAATTAGGATAAAGGAAGAAAAGTGTAGTAGAAAGGCCCGAGAATAATGATTTAATGCAAAATAGAAAAAGGAATGGCTAGGTGAATGAAGTAGATACAGTGAAGGAATGGATGAGAGTAGGCAAAGAATTATCCATTGACGCTTCCGTAAAAAGAAAAGAGAAAGAAAAATGGCACATAGACAGTGTGTGGGTAAACATTAGAAATAAGACATAGTGTGAGCGAATGAAAAGAAAACAAGATGGAGAGAGTGGGTATATGAATTAAGTATTGCGTATCTATAGGAAAAGAATGTGAGTGATTGGAAAGGGGAGAGGGAGAAAATAATGGTGAAAACAAAAGGCAAGATAATTTAAGTAAATATATGTAAAGTAAAAGCATATGTCATGTATTATAGAGAAGGATTGTGTTTGTGTCACCTGTGGCTGACCCTCAGAGGCAGTCTGTGGTATCTCAAAACTGGAAAGGGCAGGATCAGGAAAATTGAGGGTTGTGTGTGGCACCCCACGTGCACCAGGAGGCTTCAGGCACTTGCTGTTGGATATAAGCAAAATTGTTATGCAAACATAGGTTAAAAAAAAAAAGTGGGATAAATAAATAATTCAAACTTACAAATACACATAGACAAGAGCTTCACTAATGTATCGATAAATTCAAGAGATTTGCACTTAAAAATAGGAAGCATCAGTGCTGCAGAAAAATAATATCTGATGCAGGTAAGTAATGGTCAGGACCAGAACAGTGGAGTTTTAAAAAAGAAAAACAAATGGAAAAAAAATGAGTTATAGTTATAGTTATGAGTTATAGTTGGTGAGCTTATTATTCACAATAAGATTAGTCACCTGTTATTATGTTATTGTGATATTTTTGCATGTGATAATTTAAGTAACATATTAAATATTTGTGTCACTGCTATAAATTTAGCAATATTCCTTATCAAATGGTTGGAGTTCTCTGATTATTTTTCATATTATTATTATTACCTTATACCTTCTATAAAATTGTTTTCTATGTTGTTCTGTATATGCTGAGTCGGTAGAACCCTATAAATGGTAAACATAAATACACAGTATCTAACTAATATAGATTGGGTACCTGTAGTCTAGATAGTTGGGTACAATCCGTGCCACAGCAACGACTGGATGTGCCGATCCAACCAGAGGAGTCTCCACACCCACTAACAAGACCTATTGGAGAAACCAGAGTAGCTAGTGAGAGAAGTGTGGGGACACATTATCATCTAATGTCCACCTACCCCCTACTGACCTGCAAGGCACTGTACGTAAAACCATCCTGCTGCTTAAGGACACTGCTCTTTCGTTGAATGGTGACATTAAGCCAGCTTCCTCCTGGAACCTGATCAGGAGACTGATACAAACAGGAGGCAAAGAATTCATGAATTCACTAGCTGTCACACAGGCTGTTGCTTTTTTGTTAATGGGGAAGTCAATGTGGTAAGTATTAAAATGTAGTATTTAGGATTATTATTAATTGCATTTATATAGCGCCAACATATTCCGTAGTGCTTTATAATTATAAAATGGGGATACTTGACAACAAGTAATTTGCACACAGAATGTAATAAAGACAAGAGGTGAGGAAGGCCCTGCTCAAACGAGCTTACAATACACGAGTAACGGGAAAAGACACACAAGAGATATAACCGCACGTCAGAGAGAAGGAGGGATTGATGGATAAGATGCCACCCAGAAGTGGCAGGAGAGAGAGTGAGCGGGGCTATGGAGACAATATTGGTCACAAATAAAAAAAGGGAAACATTGATTTGAGGCTGCGATAAGTATTTATTTTCACGTTTTTTCACGTGTGCCCAAACTTAACGAATAATCAGTTTGTTTGTTGATAGTTTTACCAACTGTCTGGGCATTTGAATTCACTGAGCCATATCTTGAGTTTGTATAGGTGTATTTATTTATTCGTGGTTGTTTATTTAACAATTGTTATCTGTTTGGCAGAGTGAGATGTTGGTGTCTTTTGGTTGTCATAGGATTTACTGTGACTGGATTTAGAGGTAAAGCATGAATGCATTGTAACGGTATGTGAGCTACAGTGAGAATGCTTTTTTAGTATAGAATTTTGTGATTTTTTACAAAAGTAAACAAACAAGAATTAGCGGAAACAGAGAAATAAAATAAAGAATAAAGACGGTAAAATAGGAGAAGGTCTTGGGTCCTCTTCTCCAACTCCCAAGATTCCAAATGTCTTAGCAAGTGTTGCACTGAAACTATAATTGTCTTTTTCATATTGTGCAGTTTAATCACATTACATATAGTGCAAAAAACAAAGACTGCATCTTTTAGACCAGGGCTGCCCAACAGGTAGATCCCCAGATGTTATAGAACTACAACGCCCATGTTGCTTTGTCATTCTAAATGCATTCCAAAGGCATGCAAAGCATTGTGGCGATTTGTAGTTCCACAACATCTGGGGATCTACCTGTTGGGCAGTCCTGTTTTAGATTAATATATAGACAATACTGAAAGTACCGGTATATCAGATCTGCCCACTTTAAGGTGAATAAACTGTGCTATGCGTAAGAGAAGTTTCCATAATCATTAGAGCTACAACCTAACTATCCTTGACTTAAGGATATATTGCTGACATTACTGAAAATCTCAATGAAAATTTTTAAAAAACATCGCACTGAATCAATTAAAATCACAGACTTGTGAATATCAAGATCTACTGAGTCATTTTAAGAGAAATGCTTATCTAACTCTGTGTAGAGGGTAAGTGTCACTGTAAACTATAATAAGAAATAAGAATGTAATAGTATTACAAACATGTGTGTCAATACTCAAGCAGAATTCATCCAATACGTTGGGCCAGCCGAGAAAAATACTCAAGCAGAACTCATCCAAAACATTGGGCCAACCCGGAAAACTAATAGTCTCAGTGGGCTTGGCTATCTGATAGGTAATGCCCCCTTCAGTGACTATTATGCAGTCTACATAAATGAACTCAGTGGGTATGGAATAGGATCACAGGAGTACTGTTTGTGCTAGTCTGCTCAGAAAGTTGACTGCTTTGGCTGTTTTTGGTGGGAGTAAGTGAGAGAACTGTCTCCTGACAAAACGTCATGGGACCTTTGCCATGCGATATCCCTCTGATCCACACATTTTGTATTCTTCTACTATCCTCTTTAGTGGCTTCTACACATGAATCTGGCTCATGAGTAGCTTGCATCTTAGCAGACTTGTGCACAGCAGAAAAATTAGTTTCAGCCAACTCAATGGTACATAAAGAAAAAATAATTTGGGTAGTCTAAAATGTATCCACAGGGCGCTTCAGCCTACGTGATTTAGAAAAAATATTCAGAAAAGCAAAAAGGGCACAAATATGGGCTGATCAGTGTACTGCTCAATATGTACAGAATTCACTCATTATCAAGTGAGAAAAAGTAGCCAAGGGAAAAAACAAATATATAATGTGTATATAGAGATAATTATTTTTAACTCCTCCTCCTGTTTTTTTCTCTATTGGTGACTTCTCATTTGATCTGTGAATAAAATTAACAGTGGCTGTTCCTTAACCATCAATCATCTATTTTTCCATTAATAATCCCTTTTTAAGTTGCCAAGGACAGAACTCCATATGACTTTACAAGTAAATACACTAATCCATTGTCCGGTTCGTGATATGTCCATATGGCGCTTTGGAATCACAGAATTCGGACAACCTATCGATCACCCAAAATTCGGACACATCCAACTTTGTTAGAAACCAAATGCACAAGTCTACTTCTTAGTGGGCCGTAAATGTAAGTCTCTGATATCTTGGGGACAATTTGTGCCTGACTCCTTGGAGTTCTTGTCCATTATGCTCTCTGTGAGGGGCTTTTAGACTGAGCACCCAGTTGAAGGTAAAATTGCCCAACTTCAAGTGCTAATTTTCTGACTGATAGTTTGAAACGGTGGGACCAGTCACTTTGACAGTTGTGAGAAATTTTAAACCCCTGTTTCTTGCCCCCTTTGTCATACCTGCACCATGCTGAGATGATAGGTGTGGAAGGGACGCAGGACTCTAAGAGGCAGACGATATGAAAGCAGTGCATCCAAAGAGGGAGAATCAGCCACAGTCAGCAACAGTTCTAATAGAGAAAAACACAGAATATACATGTGGCAAAACAAATTTTCATTAATATTATTATTCTGAGGGGGATAGCAGCCAAACAACAAGGTGGGTATGTAGCAGAACTGGAATGTGACCGTTGAGTTGACAGGTTTGTGAGATAGAAGTTACTCTTGGAGCCATAAGCTTTTCTGAAAAGATTGGTTTTGAGGGACTTCTTAAATGATTGAAGACTAGGGGAGAGTCTAACGGGGGGGGAGGGGAGGGTAGGGGGAAGAGACAGACTGTTCCAAAGGAAAAGAGCCACCAGAGAGATGTACTGCAACCGTGAGTTAGCAGTAAGGACAGGAGAAGGTCACCGGCAGAGAGGAGAGACCAAGAAGGGGAATACCTATGAATTAGTAAAGAAATGTAACAGGGGCTAGAGCTGTTAAGAGCTTTATGGGTATATGTTAGTATTTTGGATTGACTCCTATAGGATTCCAGAAGTGCTGCCTCTGTATAATGTTTTGGCTAATCAGAGGTGGCTCTCTAATTAGGCAATTTAGGCGGCCACCTAAGACCTTGCGCTGCCCTAAATTGCCTTAGGGCAGGGTGACACAGTAGGGGTCCTGGCGGCTTGCCCTTTATCCCGCTGGGTGTGAGCCCCCTCCACACTGCCTGCCTGGGAAGAGAGCCAACCTCCAGTCTGCAGCTCTGCCGGGTGCAGAGCTGCAGACTGAGTTGTCTTGCGATCTCAGTCAATCAGAGCATTGCCGCGGATTACCACGGCAACGCTCTAACTGGAGATTCAGCTCTGTACCCAGCGGAGCTGCAGACTGGATAGGGAGCCCACCAGACCACCAGGGATACAGCCTGGCCACCGGACCACCATGGATACAGCCTGGCCACCGGATCACCAGGGAGTTTATTGTAAAGGAATTTATGACCCCCTGTCACGGCAGTCACTTCCTCCCAGATAGAGTGAAGCCACGCGGGATGGAGGAAAAGGCCGTCAGGAGGGAGCTGTCAGAGCCTCACACTCCCAGCTACCTCAGCATGACACTGGACCCCAGGGAACCACCCTCCTGAATCCATAAGGTAGGGATGGAGGGTGGCTTTATAAATGTAAACTTTGCATGTGTGTTATTATATATGTGTGTGTGTGTGTCAGTATTTGTGTAATTCAGTATGTGTGTGAGTATGTCTGTCAGGGTGTCTGTGTGTGTGTGTGTCACTATTTCTGTGTATATGTCTGTGTGTGTGTGTGTCAGTATGTCTGTGTGTGTCAGTATGTCTGTCAGGGTGTCTGTGTGTGTCAGTATGTCTGTCTGTGTGTGTCAGTATGTCTGTCAGGGTGTCTGTGTGTGTCAATATGTCTGTCTGTGTGTGTCAGTATGTCTGTCAGGGTGTTTGTGTGTGTGTCAGTATGTCTGTCTGTGTGTGTCAGTATGTCTGTCAGGGTGTCTGTGTGTGTGTCAGTATGTCTCTGTGTGTGTCAGTACATCTGTCAGGGCGTATGTGTGCGTGTGTCACTGTCTGTGTGTCAGTATTTCTGTGTGTGTATGTATGTCTGTCAGTGTGGCAGTTTGTCTGTCAGGGTGTCTGTGTCTGTCAGGGTGTCTGTGTGTGTGTCAGTATGTCTGTGTGTGTGTCAGTATGTCTGTCTGTGCATGTCAGTTTGTCTGTCAGTGTGTAAAAATTTAAACTTTGCATGTGTGTCAGTATGTATGTGTGTGTGTCAGTATGTCTGTGTCTTAGTATGTGTGTGAGTATGTCTGTCAGGGTGTCTGTGTGTGTATCAGTATGTCTGTCAGTGTGTGTCACTATGTCAGTATGTCTGTCAGTATGTATATCTGTGTATCTGTATTTAGTATATCTATGTTTCTCTATGTGGTCTGTGTGTATCTGTATGTGTGTCAGGTTGTGAATCTGCGTGTCTGTATGTGTGTCAGTGTGTGTATCTGAATGTTATCAATGTATGTATTTGTGTATCTGTATGTTGTCAGTGTGTGTACCTGCATGTGTATTTGTGTGTGCATCTGTATATAGTCAGTGTGTTTATTTGTGTATCTGCACGTGTGTCAGTATATGCATCAGTGTGTCTGAGTCAGGGCCGGACTGGCCCACCGGGATACCGGGAAATTTCCCGGTGGGCCGTCGGCACCTGGGGCTGGGCAGGCAGCTGGCTCACCTAGGGCCGCAAAGAGAGCTCTTTAGGCGGCCGCAGGGGGAGCTGGCTGTTCTGTCTCTGCTCCCCCTCCCCAGCGCACTACAAAGAGACCGGGGCCGGAATGTGACGTCATATTCCAGCCCCGGTCTCATTAAGCAGCGCGCTGGGGAGGGGGAGCAGAGACAGAATAGCCAGCTCCCCCTGCGGCCGCCAGAACAGCCAGCTCCCCCTGCGGCCACCAAAGGAGCTTCCCCACAGGTAGAAATTGTGTGTCAGTGTGAGTGTATGTGCGTGTGTGTCTCTGTCTGTGTCATGGTGTGTGTGTCTCTGTGTCATGGTGTGTGTGTCTGTCTGTGTCATTGTGTGTGTCTGTTTGTGTCATGGGGTGTGCGTCTGTCTGTGTCATGCAATGTGTGTCTGTGTCATGGTGTGTGTGTGGCATGTAATGTGTGTCTGTCTGTGTCACGGTCTGTCTGTGTCATGCAATGTGTGTCTGTGTCATGGTGTGTGTGTGTGTGTCATGTAATGTGTGTCTGTCTGTGTCACGGTCTGTCTGTGTCATGGTGTGTGTGTGTGTGTTTGTCATGGTGTGTGTGTGTTTGTTATGGTGTGTGTGTGTCTGTATGTCATGGTGTGTGTCTGTCTGTGTCATGTAATGTGTGTCTGTCTGTGTCACGGTCTCTCTGTGTCGTGGTGTGTGTGTCTGTGTGTCATGGTGTGTGTCTGTCGGTGTCGTGTGTGTGTGTCTGTGTCACGGTGTGTGTGTGTGTCAAGGTGTGTGTGTCTTTTTTAAGGTGTGTGTCTGTCATGGTGTGTATCTGTCTGTCATGGTATGTGTGTGTCTCTGTCATGGTGTGTGTGTGTCTGTCTGTGTCATGGTTTGTCTGTCTGTCATGGTGTTTCTGTTTCTGTCTGTGTCACGGTGTGTGTGTGTGTTTCTGTCTGTGTCACGGTGTGTGTTTCTGTGTGTGTCATGGTGTGTGTGTCTGTGTCACGGTCTGTCTGTGTCATGGTGTGTGTCTGTCATGGTATGTGTGTGTGTATGTATGTTTTTACTCACCTTTTTTTCCCCCCACGTCGTGCTGGTCTCCCCTCGACTGGCCCGGTCTCTACGGCTCAGCTAATCAAGCTTGATGATCTCAGCCAATCCGCACTGACACAGGAATCACCTTTAGTGACCGTCTGAGTGTCTGTCACTAGGAAGCAATCTAAACACTGCCTTTTCTCTAAAAAGTCTCTGTTTACATTGAAAAGCCTGCATGGACAGGCTATAGACACCAGAGCCACTTCATTAAGCTGTGTGTGTGTGTGCGCGCCTGCTAGTGAGTGGGCTTGTGTTTTTATGTCATTAACTTTATGTATATCAGTGAGATTGTTTGTCTATGAGGCCGTGTATCAATCAGCTTGTGTCAGTGAGATTGTCTGTGTCTGCATGTGAGTATGCTTACTGTATAATTAAAAATTTTACTCTGAAAGGACCAATATTTTATATTGGAAAAAGCAATATATATATATATATATATATATATATATATCAATCATCTAGGGTGGCAAGACATAGCCTTACATATTACATGTGACAATATATGGCGCAATGACTTATGGGGCTGGCATTGATTTTTTTTCCAGGGCTGCTTTGGAATCCCCAGTCCAGCCCTGGTCTGAGTATCCATATGTGTCAGTGTTTGTATATATGTCTTTGTATGTGTGTCAGGTTGTGTATCTGTGTGTCTGTATCTGCATGTGTCTCAGTGTGTGTGTGTGTGTGTGTGTGTGTGTGTGTGTGTGTATCTGTGTGTATGTGTATCGCAGTGTGTGTGTGGCAGTGTATGTGTACATGTGCATACATCTCATCATTCAAATAGTCAACACTACACACAAGTACACCCCTGCATTCAACCTTCAACACTACATAAAAAAACAGTCCTGCATAGAAAAATCAACAATGCAAACACACCTTTGTGTTAAACACCAAAAATATACATAAACCCACCCCAGCATTAAAAAAAGAAACTACACATAGATGCATGCTTGCATTCAAACACCAACACCGCATACAAACACACCCCTACATTTACACAAACATACTCCATACAAAAACATGCTTCCATTCAAACCCACAAACACAGCTCAGTGCTAAATACAACTCTGCAAGCATGGGGAAATGGTTCCGCTACTGCGTTGCGAAGTGGAGAGCATGATTGCATGTCACAGAGTGGGGGCCAGGGGGTCCCATCAAATGCTTGACCAGGGCCCAATCAATATTAAAGATGGCCCTGCACCCGCCAACCCTGTCACACTCATCCTCTAACAGTCTGTCCCACTCACCCCCTTCACCCTGCCTCACTCACCCTACCACATAAACCCTTACAATCCTGTCCTCCAACTGTGCAACACTCACCTCAAACCTTGTCACACACAGGTAGACAATGCCAGGTAAACTCAGAAATACACACACCGGCACTTATGTGCACAAGACTGCAAGGCTATATAACCATACCCCTCAGTCGTGTATAAACAACTGGCATAATTGCTAATTGAATGTTTATTGCAAATTCATTTTGTTTGCAAATTATGCCATAATGCTCTAGGTTGTATACCTATTCTTCATCACCTTATCCATTCTTACAGGCTCAGGGATCTGGGATTTTGAATTGTATAACTTTTTTTTTGTAGTATATCTGGATCCCATGTCACGTATGAGGTCTGTTTATTTTGTCTTTTGTACCATGTTGCACACTGCACAAATAAACAAAGTACTTTGGAGAATCCACCTCGATGGAATTGTTTGGCTTTCTGACGGGGCGGTCTATTTGTGAATTTGGATGATGATTTAATACGGAACTATGGGACAAATATCGGAAGTGTAACTAAGGACTGATCAGATACAGTAAGTAATCACTGTGTATTCTATGAATTACCCGTAATGATCAGTGTTGTGGCACAAAGGTTATACACAAATACGTTTTTCTTTTGTGTTGTTTTTTACACATTGACCCAGCAATAGGGTGTACAGCTGGCCCAACATTTGTGCATGTCTATGCTACACGGAGATATATTAAACACATAAAATATATATACAAAAATAAGCTATTATTGGCAACCTTTGTATACTAGCTGCCAGTATGTATATATGTAGAAAAATTATAAATTTTACCTGTAAAGTTACACGTTATTATTTTTTATCACAATAAAAATGCATGGTTGTGATGAGGTGACCGTACGGTTCCCGGGCAACTTGGTTCGCTGTTTTGAACCACTTTGAAATATGCCAGGAGAGCACTTTTTGGAGGGAAGGTGCCTGAGGATAAGGGGAACAAACGAGCCAGCCGGAGCACCCCGTTTTGCGGCCACAGAAGCTTGACCGACTAAGAAATCCATGGGCGTGTTGTGGGAGTGTTATGGGTGTGTTTGACTGTATCCCTGATGTGTATAAAAGCAGGCCATCTGGCAAGAATAAATTATTCCTGTTGTACCCTTCATCAAGTCTAGGCTGATGTTTGGGTAGCTCAGAGCTTTAATCACTGCTTCACTTGGGATCTGGGAGAACTATAGCAGATATACTCAGTCGGAGCATAGGGGATCCGTTACAATATTGATTTTAAATTATGAAAACATTACTGATTTGTGTAGATGTGAATCTGTACAGAACAGGAAGGCCAGGCATAGAATGGACAGGTATATAAGTAAGATTCTAGCTGAGCTAAACTCCTTATTTACCTTCTTGCTCTGCCTCTTCCTCGCTCACAGTCATGGTTAGTGTCTCCCCCCACGTTGGGTCATGAGTTGGGACCTGGGTTGTATGCGAAATGCTCTGGGCCTTTACTCCATTCCTGTCATTTGAGCTGCTCATCCTGTAACACATATTGGTTTAAACATCTCCAATAAAACAATAAGACAAATTGCATGATACGGACGTGCTATACAGAGTGAATGGATCCTATGGCTTGCAGAGTTGAGGGTCACTTCTTGGCTACAATATAGACTATAGGCCCGTGCTAAACTGGGGTTCAATGTACTTACATTTTCTGGAATGTAATGAGTTAAGAGAATAACACTATAGTGATTTGAAGCACAATAGTGCTTGCAACAGATTCCTTAAACTCATTATTTCTGACCCACCCACCATCAATCAATGACAGGCTGTGATGGACAAGAGAGCCAAGAGAGGGGGTAGGGCAGCCATGGTGGTCCATGGCACGTGACCTGTCATTGGTGAACTTGGGTCAATGAAATATTAATGCCAAACAACCCCCATGGGACATGGGTTAGGAGTAGTAAAATCCCATTAGTGCCCCTGCACATTTGATTTCCATATTGTTGATTTTTTTCATGCTCCTTGCATCACAAGTGTTTAATGCTCAAGGGTCTAAGGTCCTCTCTAAAGACGACACATTGAGTAAGATCGCTTGTGAATGGGGGAGAGGAGGAGGGGGAAGGGATATATAAAAAAAATGAAGTAATTGAAATAATATAAAAGACAGAAAGATGGCATGAATATGAAAAATTACTATTGGAGATGAGAGGATAGACAACATAAGAGAAATAAAAGGCAGAATAGTGGGGCAAAAGGGCAGAGAAAGGTGCTGGGTGACAAATTGGCACAGGTGGTTTAGTGGAAGATTAAAAGGGTTGAAGTACACGACTGCAGGACTGAGAATGATTATTACATTGTAGTAGATTTATAAGCTCGAGCATCCAAGGCCATCTTCCTCGTCCTGACTGTTGTTGCCAGATTCTCATGGTGTTTGGAACGCTGATAATTCCTGTATGCTCTCACAGGGCTTATCAGCAGTATGTGTAATACACATACTCCCAGTGTGAAATCACTTAAAAGGGAGCTGTTACATGTAGTGTGTACGATCCAAAAGACACGTTTGCTTTTAACCCCTTAAGGACCAAACTTCTGGAATAAAAGGGGAATCATGACATGTCACACATGTCATGTGTCCTTAAGGGGTTAAAAAAACAACAACAAATTTTGTTATTCAGTAAAGGCCTATTAAAAACAGATCCTTCATTGTCCAGATAGGGCCACTAGAATGGACAACTCTGTTGTATTCCATGAGCGGTCGTGTAAGGGTTAATAATTATTATTTTGCTTGACACCTGCAGGCCGACTTGAGCGGCGGAAAACATGGCTGCGAGGGAGAAAGGGTAAGTAAATCTACTTTTTTCTCCATGCAGTTGGGGGCTGATAACCCATATTTGTATTGCTAATGCTATAGTGTTCCTTTACGTTTCGAGTTCATACTCACATAGTGACAAAAGGACAAGGTGCGGACCCAGCTGTAGTTGACGGGAGATGAGTTGCTGAGTGCAGGGTAACAACAATGGTTTCTGTCCCGTGTGGGGACAGGAAGCTAGATTGTCCATGTGATCCATACACAGGCTCACCATGCGTCGGAGGTTTCTCTGTAACCTGAGGGAAGATAAGACTTCATATGAGAGAACTCTAATAGCCAGATAAGAGGGCAAAGGAATAGAAAGGGAATGATGGGAAATGATTAATCCAAACCAAGGACGTTTAAAGGGGGAAGTTGAAATTGAGGAATGCATGGAGATTTGTTCTCCATCATTATTTTACACAAGGAATTATGCGAATACCTCTACTATTCCATTCATAACACACCCAGGGTTAGATTTACACAAAAGGTAAGGATAGTATTAGACTAATGACAGTTGCAAGATAATGCAACTCAAAGAAGTCAGGAAGTATCAAAACCACAAATACCAAATTAATACCAAATTTAAAAATATATAAAGAAGTTGTAAACCACAAATACCAAATTAATATCAAATTTCAAAATATATAAAGAAGTTGTATTCAGGATAGGTGATCTTTGTGACTGGGGCCTGTGAGCAGCTGCCTACTGTGTATACAGGCAAATCCGTCCCTATTTACATCTTCCTATATGGAAGACCTGCATATATATACATATATAGATATATCAACATACACATACAAACACACTGATCAACCACAACATTAAAACCACCTATTGTGTAGGTCCTCCTTGTGCTTCCAAAAGAGTTCTGATGCGTCAAGGCGTGGACTCCACAAGATATCTGAAAGTATCCTGTGGTCTGGCACCAAGACAGTAGCAGCAGATCATTTATGTCCTGCAAGTTTCGAGGTGGAGCCTCCATGGATTGGATTTGTTGTTCCAGCACATCCCACAGATTCTCTATTGGATAGAGATCTGGGGAATTTGGAGACCAAAGCAATACCTTGAACTCTTTGTCATGTTCCTCAAATCATTCCGGAACAATTTTTGCAGTGTGGCAGAGTGCATTATCCCACTTCAGGAAACGCCTGAAATGTTCACTGTCAGGAAACACCATTGCCATGAAAGGGTGTATGTTGTCTGCAACAATCTTTAGGTAGGTGGTACATATCACAGGAACATCCACATGAATGCCAGGACCCAAGGTTTCCCAGCAGAACATTGCTCAGAGCTGAACACTGACTCTGCTGGCCTGCCATCTTCCCATAGTGCATCCTGCTGCCATATTTTCATAGAAATAATGATTTCGGTTGGGGGCTTTTTACATCTTACCAGTTGTAGTGGGAGATTTGATTTAATATTTATTTATTGCTTTTTATTTTTCTAACCTTTTGTGTTGCACCTTATTGCTTTATCCTATATATTCTGTCTCCTCTCTCTATCCTGTGTCTCACAGGAAGGCATCATACTATCCATGGTTTCAAAAATGTTATCTTAAATTTAAAACTAACCACTGCATACCAGAAACACCCCACACGTCACCTGTCAGTGGTTTTAATGTTGTCTGATCAATAGATAGATAGATAGATAGATAGACCGACCGATACTATCAAATACACACACATATCAAACTGAACAAACGTACGAATCTGCAATTTCTTTCCCATAGAATCTGAGTCTGATCGTAAATGTGATATAGAAAAAGGCAAAGATATAAGTAATTAATTTAGACGGAGCAGCCCATTAAACCATAGATTCAGTGCGTATCAAGCAAGCATCGATCTGATACTGCTTGTTACTAGCCCTGCATATTACAAGCTCTATCCCTGCACTGGTGACACAAGTAATTAAGTTCATGGTAAGTTCAGCTTCAAGTCTACAAAAAAGGCATTGAACAACGAAGTGAAGAAAGAATGAACTCAGTTACAGCCGGACGGTATATTCAATGTGGCTCTGCAGCTAGCCTTCTAGCTTGGACCTTAAATCTCACCGTTGTGTGAATAGACTTCTGTATGGGGGGCATTGTCATTCTCTGTTCTCTAGCAGAGAGCTGAATATTTCAATGCAGTACTTAATTTTGTATTTTTAGAATAGGATGAATTGATGTAGATATCTACAAGATGCCATGTAATCATAAGGAACACACAACACATGCTTTTGGGAGAAATAGATATAGACAGAAGACGCGTCCCATGGGACGTATTTATTTGGAACCATCCACATTTAAAGCAGGAGTATAAAGTTCTAAGATTACGTCAATGCCCCTGAAATAGTAAATGTTGTAAATATTGTCTGAATCGTGACGGGGTAGCTTTAGTTTTATAGGGCTCAAATTAAACATCCTGGACACAATCCTCACCAACAACACACTAGTTAGAGTTTATCTGGTCTGCAGTTTGAATAAAAAGAACTATCTACCAATTTCCCTGAAACATAAACAGATACACGGATGGGTTCATAAAACATACACAAAAGCTAATATTTCATTAAAGTATAATACAACAGTGTAGTGTTTACTTTGAATGATATTTTATATTTTTGAACCAAAACCACAAAATGTAACTTTATTTTCAACCATGTGCCCATTCATACATGCAACGTAATGTCACACGCATGATTTGATCTCTTCACGCAAATGACATCACATGCTGAGTGATACAAGGTTTGTACTGCAAACACTGTAAGCCATTAGCTTAGCTGCACAGAGTAGGTGACCTCAACCCAATATCCAGACGATACGCAAGACTTGAACAACATGGCTGTATTGGTGTAGCCTAAAGCACAATAATAGTGTATTTTTAAACTGCACTTTATGTTAATATGGCATGAGAAAGGTCGCATTAAAAAAAAATTCAATTTTCATACTTTTTTAACTTACTCTTGCCTGCTCTATAAATTTAACGTTAGTCACACACAGAAGGTTTCTGCAGGTTTAAGAATGCTATTGACTGCAGAGATGATACATAAGCAATAAATGAAGTTTAAACATTAGATCTCACTTTACAGGAAGTGTTTAAAAAGGCTGTGTAAGTCGCATGCAGGGAGGTGTGACTAGCGTTGCATAAACAAAGTGATTTAACTCCTAAATGATTGAGCAGTGAGGCTGCAGGGGCATGATCTATACACCAAAACTGCTTCATTAAGCTAAAGTTGTTCAGGTGACTATAGTGTCCCTTTAAGTGCAATAATCCAGATCCCTGACACGTTACTTGAGTTTTGTATTTCTGGGACTGGGAGCTCGACTCTGTATCCTATGTTTAGTCTTTCATCTTCCATAAGCAAGCTGTATCAAGAGGTTCCCAATAGGATTCATGCAACATTATATCTTGTTCTGGACAGTCAAGTAGGGCTCAATGTGCAGGAAGCTTTGCAACAACCATTTCAGAAACAAACCGTGGACACCATGCTGGTTTAATGATAGAAAATTACAAAAGCCTAGATTGCAGAACCATGGCAATCAAATACAACATGCATTTTATAACAATTGAACTTATATAACAAACAACATGTAGTAGTGAAGAAGGAATAGGTATAGAAGGTATATATCTGTATGTCGGGTTGGTATGGACCGTGAAAGGGATTCTTTAGAATTACAAGTAAGTAGTTTGGGAGGTACAGAAGTAGAAAGACAGGCTGTCAGTATCTGTGAGTTTGTCTTCCAAGGAACAGGTTTGATAAACAGTCTAACCGACACACAGGATAATAGGAGGTAAGTTGTTTTGATATTCCCTTAGAATAAGCATGGCAATAAAGAACCGGATACAGAGTATCCCAGTAAACTGAGACGTAATTCTAAATAATTCAGAATTCAGATTAAAGACAATAAAATCCTTTGAAGTAACAAGTTACACCCATAGCACCATCAAACCAACAGCAGAACAATCATATCAGATCCCACTGACTTTCTCTCCTCGTTCTGTCATTGTTCTACTGACAGTGCTATGTTATTCTTGTGCTGCATGTGTTAAACTAAATCCTGTTGCCAACAATGCTATTTCTGCTGTGATCCTACTCAAACGGCTGTCATGAAATTCCTCGCCTGCTGTCTCAATTATTTTTATGTTAACGTCATACACATCTACTAATGGAACTTTGATTATAAACGGTTATTGCAAACTATACAAATAGTGCATGTTATTCCTGAACACACACACATCCACACAGATCTAAACAGTAGCTAGGTGGAATAGGTCTGCAGGTGCCACAATTTAATTAATTCAACCTATGCCCCCTACAAATCTGTAATTAAAGGGACACGCCAGACCCTATAACACTTTAGTTTTATGAAAAGCTTTATATCAGAAGGGTGTTTCCTATTTGTTTTATTTAGAAAAAAAGTGCAGATTTCAATAGAAACTGACACTTTTATAAATTGACCTAGTTACATCCACCTGGCTTTCAATCAGACAACCTATCCTGTTACTTCCTGGTTTGGTTCGCTCAATGGAGCTAAACTCAAGAGGCAGCAATAGCTCAGAGCACCTGCCTTGCAAAGACTTCTCATTGAGCTGCATTGGGAAGTCTGTGATTGGACAGATACAGAAAGGGTAGGCAGGGCTAAAAGGGGAGGGCTCGCGAAGACAGCAGACAAGAGAACTACAGGTTTTGCAAACTGTTTTCAGATGTACCACCAACTGAAAAATGCATAATGAAATGCATTCATGTTTTCATTTTTGGTATATCTACTAAATAGTGCTTTTGATTTATTTTGTATTTCGGCAGTGAAATGTCCCTTTAACATAATCTTTGCACTTACAAGCATTTATTTAATTCAAGACTTTATAGTATTTTGCATCAACACCAAAGTGGGGACGACATAAATGCTGTTATTTAGTATCGTAAGACTAGTGGCCAAAACTTCTACTCCCACTTGTTCTATCCCAATCAGCATTGAGGGATCATGGGAGTTGTAGTTTTATCACAGCTAGTTATCTACCATTTGCCTACCTCTGAATTAAGCTTAGGTTAAAATATGACCAAAAAAGCCCATTTCTCATTTGGATCTCCACGTAATGTTAAAGGCATAAACGGAACCTTTATGTCACATATGTGACATATACAGGGGTATTATTCACTATTTTGAGAATTTAAGGTGAATTCAAAGTTAAGGACAGGATACCTGAATGTAAAGCATAGCTGACTTAAAGAATTTTTCCTGTTTGGCTATTTTGACATTAACCCCTTAAGGACCAAACTTCTGGAATAAAAGGGAATCATGACATCATGAAGTTCACTTTTAATTAACCCTGAATTCTCACATTAGTTAATAATCCTGTAAGATTCCAAATCTCTAAATTTTCTATATTAATGAAATGGAACTCTCGCTATACCTGTTCACACTCCAGAACACTCATCCTGCTTCATGGAATTTTCACTATTTCAAAACTAAATGCTGGAAGAGCCGGCATTAAATGATCCATAGCGATATGAGGTGGAACACGTGGAGAGTTTAATGAGATAAGAAGTAGTGCCAACTCTACCATTCTTTAATTGATCCTAACATTCACACAGGCTCTTATGTCCATTAGAACATACACATTATTCACCTGATAATAGGCAGCCGTATAAATATTACTCTTTTCTCATTTCCATTTTCATTTTATGGCTTGCCATTAAACCACCCATTAAAACCTGCACTTGTTAATTCCGTATTCTCATCCTCACGGACATGTACTGAGGAGCGCCATGACTTTCTGTTTGACGGTCGGAGAGAAGCCATTGGGGACCAAGGGCCTGATTATTGACGGCCTAGGGGCACAATGAATATGAATTAGATCCTGCAAACTGATTGCAGGGTACTTCACATTCAGGAGATATAGATCGTATTATAAGAAATAGAAATATATCTAGTAATTGAGCAGCAATTTTTCCATAGATGCCAATGAGAAAAAGCTATTCAGTTATCAGACTTATGGTTCTCCAGCCCTTAGAGAGCAATGGGTACTCACGTGCATCCTTTTTCTAGGGCTTGATGTCCTTGGCGGGGATGGTAAAAGAAGAGGAGCATCATCAGGATATCTGATGGACACGGGAAGCCTTGGGGTAGGAGATGGAGAACCATCTGAACCATCTGTGACTTCATCCTTAGAAGGGAATTGGGAGAGAAGAAGTGAAAAATAATAAATAATTATGATGATACATTTCGTTTTGATAAATAAAAAGATGTACGTTTGGTTAAAACCGAGTACAAGACAATCTAGCAGATTTATCCCTACAACATGAATTCACTGAAAGACAACAACTAAGGGCCATAACTGGCTAGTTAGCGAGTTATTTAAATAGGACTAGAAATGTGTTCTTGTTTCAGGATTGCTGATCCTTCAAAAACTATAAAAATAGATTGTTCTGTGTATGTATGTTGTTGAACATGCCTATTACGGTGAGTTACACAGAGTAACAGAGTGTATTTGGTACACGCCATGTTCCTATGTGGTATTGTCAGTGTGATAATAAACACTTGAAGATATGCAAATATGATATTCTTTTCTTCATACCTAAAACCTTAAACATCCCTTATTAGCATGAAAGTAAATTCTAACCAAATGGATCATGCATAGTTTTAGGGATTACACTGTTATTTACACGTAACCCATACAGTGCATGCAACAGAGTCGGATTAAAATTACCCAGGGTTCTAGGTAAGGCCCCCTCCTATAGCCCAGGGTTTTTTTCTGTGAGAGTGTAGGTAGTGGTTGACAGGGCCAGATTAAGAGCCCAGTGGGCCTGGTGCTGACAATTATGACAGGCCTAATTACAGAATCATATCGACCAAAAACAGTAAAACACTCCCAAGCGTCATGTATCTGATGGAGATGGTGCTGGAGAGAAAGAAAACAGCAGCTATAAGAAAACACATACCCCAGGCTAATCTCTCACTAATTTATGTTTTCATCTTTCAAGTAAATCCATAACCCCTAACAGCAGTGTCCAGTCAAGCAGGAAGTCAATGGGTGTGCCACTGACACAAATCACGCAACCTGCCAAAAGGGGCGAACATGCCCAAAAAGAGGATATGTCTGCCCAAAGAATTAGAAGGCCATCCTGGTATGAATGCATGTCAGGCTGCCTGCCAATAATGCAGCTGGCCAACTAAGGACATACTATGCAGACAGCACCCTGAGCTTGGCATAAATGCATCTAATGATGCGCTCGCTCAACGCTTTCTAAGGACTGTCCCGTAGCACTCGCTGGTCCACTTGTCTCCTTACCTTCTTACTAGCAGGCAGAAGCTCTATGTATATAGTCTGGGACAGAGAAAAGCTGTACGTAGTGAGTGTAGAAGAAAGGGAACATGCCACCAAAGTCAGCATTACCTTAAAGGATCACTATAGGGTCAGGAACACAAACATGAATTCATGACCCTATAGTGTTAACACCACCATCTAGCCCACCTGGGCCCCTCATGCCTCCATAAATATAGCAAAATCTTACTGTATTCAAGCCTGAAGCTGTAACTCTGCATTCTGTTAGACTTAGAAAAACAAGCAGTCTGCTGACATCATTAGAAGTGGTGGCCTGATCCAATCACAGTGCTTCCCCATAGGATTGGCTGAGACTGACAAAAAAGCAGATCAGGGGCAGAGCAAGCATGATTCAAACACAGCCCTGGCCAATCAGCATCTCCTCATAGAGATGAATTGAATCAATTAATCTCTATTAGGAAAGTTCAGTGTCTGCATGCAGAGGGAGGAGACACTGACTGTTTGGATGCATTTTAGGCAGCCATGACCCAGGAAGGATCTCTAACAGCCATCTAAGGAGTGGCCAGTGAAGTTATCACTAGGCTGTAATGTAAAGACTGCATTTTCTCTCAAAAGACAGTGTTTACAGCAAAAAGCCTGACGGTAATGATTCTACTCACCAGAACAAATTCAATAAGCTGTAGTTGTTCTGGTGACTATAGTGTCCCTTTAACTATATTCATTGTCAGCCAGTCCACACAAGTTTTGTTCCCATACATCCCTCTTAAGTTTCCATACTTAAGTAAGAGTATGTGAAAAGTAGTTAGGGTTGCCACCTATCTTGGAAAAACATACCAGCCTTGCTAATTTGCATAATTAAATATGTATGGGTGACATCACATGATGTAAATCACAAGGAGTGACATAAGAGAAAATGCTTTAAAATCAACAAAAAACTATTTAGTTTGATTCTGCTGTATAGATGGATTCCTCCCAGTGGCCCCATGTCTCCCAGTGCCCCCATGTGTCGATTACTCCAGGTCTCAGTGTTCCTATGTATCAGTGTCCCATGTCTCCCTGTGTCCCCATGTATCCCAGGGTCCCCATGTCACTAGGAAGACAGGAAGACCTGGTGACACGTTGAGACCTAGGGACACGGAGACACCAGTGATACTGGGAGACTAGGGAACTCTGGCTGGGACGCACTGGGAAAATAAGGGACACTTGAAGACATGGGGATACAGACACCAGGGACACAGACACTAGAGACACTGGCTAGGGGACATTTAGACATGAGGGCACTGGGAGACATGGGGACAAGGAGACACCAGGGCCACAGACACTAGCTTGGAGACATGGGGACATTGAGACACTTGAGGCACTGGGAGACATGGAGGCACTAGGAGACATGGGGACAGTGAGACACTGTGAGACTAGGGGTCACTGGGAGACTAGGGGGCAGGAGACACCAGGGACACTCGCTGGGAGACATGGGGACACTGTGTCCCCATGTGTCTGTGTCATTATGTCTCTCAATGTCCCTTAGTGTCACAGTGTCTGCCATAATGTCTCCCATAGTGTCTCAGTGTCTGCCATAATCTCTCCCAGTGCCCCTTAGTGTCTCAGTGTCTGCCATAATCTCTCCCAGTGCCCCTTAGTGTCTCAGTGTCTGCCATAATGTCTCCCAGTGTACCTTAGTGTCTCAGTGTCTGCCATAATGTCTCCCAGTGTCCCTTAGTGTCTCAGTGTCGGCCATAATGTCTCCCAGTGTCCCTTAGTGTCTCAGTGTCTGCCATAATGTCTCCCAATGTCCCTTAGTGTCTCAGTGTCTGCCATAATGTCTCCCATTGTCCCTTAGTGTCTCAGTGTCTGCCATAATGTCTCCCAGTGTCCCTTAGTGTCTCAGTGTCTGCCATAATGTCTCCCAATGTCCCTTAGTGTCTCAGTGTCTGCCATAATGTCTCCCAATGTCCCTTAGTGTCTCAGTGTCTGCCATGTCTCCCATGTCCCTTAGTGTCTCAGTGTCTGCCATAATGTCTCCCAGTGTCCCTTAGTGTCTCAGTGTTCCCATGTCTCCTTGCAGCCTTTCCCCCCATCCCTTACTTCCCTGAGCTGTAGGCTGTCTCTGCAGGGTGGGAGCTGCTGTCTGGACTCTCTGTAGCTGCACCCCTGCAGATCAGTGAGTATAGATAGGCAGGAAGGGATATGCTGGAACTTCCTATCCCTGCCTGTCTCCACATACAGCGACCCCTACTGGCCAGTGCTGGTATTGCAGAGTAATCTCTTGTTTATACTGAGAAAAACACCAGCATTTGTATTGCCAGTATCACTGCAATATTGGCAGTAGCCAGGCAGCCTCAAATACTGGCTGTGCCAATAAAATAAAAGCCAGGTGGAATCCCTAAGAGTAGTGTGTGAAAAATTTTTTTTTTTAAATAAATGTATATATATATATATATATATATATATATATATATATATATTATAAATCAGTGGGCCTATTGCATGGGCCTGGGTCTGGAGCTGCAGCTCCATTAGCCCCTATGTTAATCCGGCCCTGGTGGTTGAGTGTTCTGTGTGTGGATCAGTCCCAGTGTTATGTGTGTGGGAAATGTTCCCAGGTTATGGTAGTTCAGTGGGGAAGCCTTATGGTCTGCACCTCTATCCGTTGCAGATCATTTTAAAGCTCCCTTGTGGTTCCAGCACTCAGTCATTAACACAGAGCATTGGTTGTGGCACTCTAGGTCACGAAGGAGTAATCTGCACCCGATGGAGATTAGGCGAGGGGGTGCAGGGCCGAGCAGGGAAATCTAATGATCTCCTTTCCAGCTATGGATAAGCCATCTCTGCATTGCAACATGGACTATTCTGTATGTTACACTCAGACATGAACTATAATATATGTTCATATTTAAAATTATATAAAGCGGCACTATTACATGCAAAAGCATAAAAAAATATATAGAGCCAATCTTGCATAAATTGTTTATTATTATTATTTTGTTATTTTTATAGCGCCATCAGATTCCTTAGCGCTGTACAATGGGTGGACTAACAGACATGTAATTGCAACCAGACAACTGGACGTACAGGAACAAAGGGGTTGAGGGCCCGGCTCAATGAGCTTTAATTCTAGAGGGAGTGGGGTATAGTGACACAAAGGGTAAAAGTAGAGGAAATGCAAAAAAGTTTTTTGAAAGTTTGCCTGAACATATGATGACATAAAAACAAGTGCCTTATGTGTCTTCAATTATGTGAGATAGAGAGAATAGCAAAAAAAACACAGAATAAAAACAAAATTCAGTCATTCAGTCACCCCCTATATAGTATTACATTCCCTTGAGCACAATTAAAAAGGGATAACAAGTTATCATTAAAGTACTTATTGCACATGAATGGAGATTTTCCCTAGCAAGATAAATCTATATCTGTAATCCTTTGTTATAAAAAAAATCCCAGTTTTTTTTGTTGCTTACAAAATAGTTTTTTCAATAGAAGGCTGATTGGAAAAAAACGAAATCGCGTTTTTACTCCATATTAACAATTAACCTGGATGAAAACGTAATCGAAAAGAACATAATAGGCAAAATCATAAATTCTGTGTATTCACAAATTATTTTATTTTTTTTAAATCGCCAGCAATCCAAACTTTTAAATGTACCAACTTCTTAAGGGCAGCTCACCTAAATGTCGCTATGAACGGATCAAGACAGTATTTCACTTATGCATAGTGAAACTTGCAATATTTGAGCAAAAACATAATAATTAAATAGAATGCTACACTTAGAGCACAACAAAGATAGTCCCAATAATTATATGCTCTGATATGAAAAGCTACATGTTATTAGGACAAATTTCTTTATGTGGCAATAATTAGTTTAATGATACCTTGTTGTTCTTTTCTAATTATGCTCAGGGCAACGTACGACTGTATTAAAGAGCTATGTAACTCCAATTGCATGTATTCCTGATGTTATGTTTCATTTTGTGAATTCTGTAATATCCTCGCTATATCATATAATTGATGACATATAAGGACTTGTTTTGATATCACCCTATGTTTAGGCAAATGTTAGATTATTTTGCTGCAGTTACCATACTCTTTTTTGCATATCCTCATTTGACAATTTATGCAAGATTAAGCATTCAGTATCATTTGAATTGAAATATTATTAATGTAAGGATATCTTTTGAGGGGTTGCCCATGATACCTGCAACCTAATCGTTTGAACAGCTGAGTGCCAGCAACATAGATTTTTAAAAAAATGTATATTTGTATTTATATGGCTCACGCTGAACTCGATATATGGGGTGGAGAGTGGGGCAGCTGGAGAGACAGGTTTTAAATTGACCATTGTTCTCACACCTTGGTAAAGGCATGCATGTGGCCAAGCAACATTAAAACACATGCTCTCCCAGTGGTCGTTTTCATTGTTCAATAAAGATCTTCAGTTTCATGCATTGAAAATTGATTTTAGCCCTCATTAGTATACTCACAAATCTCATAAAGTGCACTTATACTGGGTATAAATTAATTGTAGGTAGTCTGTATGGTTTTTCTCCTGACATTTTGATTAATTGCAGACCGTTTCATGGATTAGAGATAACATAAATGTTTCTTACTTTTTAGGAATTATTATTGCACGAGCCCTTTTTACTTAAAGGGTCACTTCAATGCTCATAATCACTACAGCCCGCTGTTGTGGTTATGGTGCCAGGAGTACTCTTGCACTGTTCCCTGGTAATGGGTCTCTAAACTATTAAGTAATAATTTGCCTTCTTGCCTGGGTTTCTTCTGGGCTCTGTTGCTGCTGGGGCGGTGCGCTAAAAATGTTTATTTCACTGGTAGATTCAACATATTCCAGTTCAGGGAATAATCTGTTGGGGAATATTCACGAAACACCAAACTGTAATGAATTGAAAACCAAATTGCCAAATTCAGGCTGAAAAAGACAAACTGACTATGCAGTAGAACCTCGGAACTCAAACGTTCCTGTTCTCAAACAATTTGGAAGTCGAACAAAAATTTTGAGTTAAAAATGGCAGTCTTCAGTACCCGAACATACAACAAAGAGCCATGAGTAAAAAATGTCTGGGGTACGCGAACCTTCGGTCCCCAAATATACAACAAAGAACCATGTCTCATTTTCAAATCAGAAAATTATTATAAATAATTGTAATAATGGCTAACAGTAAATTTTTTGCAAGTTGGAAGGCAGGAACCACTCAAATAAATGTAAGGTGCTTATTATTAGACTTAATGCATACAAATAAATGTAAAATGCTGTAATTTGGGGGGTCTGGAACGGATTAATCAATTTTACATTAATTCTTATGGGAAATGTGGATTTGGTTCTCGAACACTTCAGGACTCAAACTGCCTTCGGGAATGGATAAAGTTCGAGTTCCGAGGTTCCACTGTAGTTGAATGGGAGATTAAGTCCAGTGTGTTCTGCAGCTGTCGATAAAGAGAGTATCTGGGGAACTCACTGATTTAACTACATGTCAAAGGTGTGCACACTACAACTGCCATCACGCTCAGCTGGGTAGGGTACACTAACCAAGCCACTACAATCAATCACAGCATTTGGAGTGAAAAAACAACTGCTCGTCTCACACAGCATTACCCTAAGCCTAACCTAACCCAAAATGACAAATCCCTCCATTAGCCTGGCTGAGAATTATGGAAGTTGCAGCCCATATCATGCAGAGTGCAATAATGAATCATGCCAGGGCACTCCAATTACTATGGACTAAAACTACCATCATTCTCAGCCAGCTGCATCAGAATGTTGGGAAATGCGCACTGCGTCTTGTTAACTATAAGAGTAAAATGCATTAAGAGTACACCAAATGCCACAGATTGCAACCATTTGTATCACCCTGACCCAAGGTAATAAGAGTTGCAGTTGATAGCTGCATAGGCCTGTTATAAACAGAACAGTTTTAATGGGAGTTTAACTACTGTGCGGCCATTTAAAGTCAATATTTGGAATGTGCCATTAGGATGTAGGCTTTTCTGTAGTTAACATTTGAGAAAGAAACATGGCGACAAATGCGACACATGGCAACAAAGGGATTCTTTCTATTTTCTTTCATGACAAGTGTTTTATTACCGTCAAGCCAAGCTGTCACTAAAGCTGAATTGGAGAATATTGCCTAACCAGCTATTTTTGCCTTGATTTTTTAATCCGTATTTTAGATCACAACAATTTAAAGTTTAGTGAATAAAAAACAAGTTAATCAAGGATTGATGCCGCAGCAAATAATTGCTACATGCAGGGAAGCACTTTTTATGTGCTACCCATCAGCACGACAAAATGTCCAGGAAAATGTTGGAAATCTGTCGACTCAAAGTCCAGACGTGAAACAAATTGAATCACAAACGCAAATTAGTGTAACACGAGCCAGTCTGTTTCATGTTCAGTTTGTTAGAATAAATACAATCAACAAAACATTTATAATTAAAAAGAGATGCTCCAAATATAGATTAATAGGCAAGATATTTCTGTTTCTTTTAATCCACTGTTGACTATTATAAAAGGTTCACATACAGTTTTGAAATGTCAGTTTTACCATTCACTAGGTTTACCATAATCGTCATATTTTTCTGGACATACATCAATTCTTCATGGTGCTAATGGAGAGTGCTGCTACGTAGAATTTATTATTACACATAAACTGCAGTAGAAAGAACCGTTACTTAATAAAGCAAGGTTTTTTAGGGATGTTTGTTGACTAAATTATGGATTTGCTTCCTACAGCATATGATTTCTGCAAGGTAGCACTTTTCATGTGTTGTTCATCAGTATGAAAGATTGTGTCCCAGGAAACAGTGTTGGCTCTATCAAACTCACTTTCATCTGGATGAACTCTACTTTCAAAAGATTTATGCCATTGGATAACACTAGAAAGAGGTTAACCCCTTAAGGACCAAACTTCTGGAATTAAAGGGAATCATGACATGTCACACATGTCATGTGTCCTTAAGGGGTTAAAAGCGAACTTCATAGACATGTTTCTTCCTTTATTTTGCATTTTCTAGATCACCTCTTCTTAACTTGGTCCTCAAGACTCAAAACTATTTCATATCTTTAGAAACATAATGAGAAAATGCAGAAAGCCAGGATGGTTGGAGTGACTTGTTGGCTTGGTTTCAAAATTACTATTCTAGATAATGGTTTAGAGCAATAGATATTACCTTTCAGAAAGTTTTCCAAATTATTTGTTCTAGTATAGGAAACGGATTAGGTTCCAGAGACCAGTGGGGGTGGAGCTAGCCCACATCTTATTTTCTCTTCTGCCCCCAATATAGTATGGACAACTTTTGAGGATGCATATTAAGCCAGGCAAGTTATTTTAATAGGATGTTTAATATGCATCAGAGCTTTCCAGGTATATGGAAAATATACAATAATTATTAGGAATTATAGGCGAAAGCTGTTTTAACTGAACTCATTGATCTATATAAATCAAATGTTACCTGTTCTTCTCTTGAAACAGAATCAGGAGACTGTCTGTGTTCTTGTACAGTGTTGAGCACGAGGTCTTCAGACATGTTGTAGGCAGGTAGAGTGTCAGATTTTGAAGTATCAGCCATGCTGGGGTTTGGTCTGGGGGTGCTTGACTGAGCAATGGGGGTTGTGAAAGAGTCCGACCTAGGTGAATATTTTTTAGAGGTGCTTGGTTGGTTGGGGTCATTTCTAGGGGTCGCAGGATGTGAAGTTCCAGTCCTCATGATAGGTGGTCGGGGAGAAATGGATTTAAGATTATCTTTAGGTTTGGGTGGCTTATATTCTCTAAAGCAGACATTGTATGCCAATCGGCCACAGTGCATGGCCATCCAGTTCCCTCCAACGCGAAGTAGTGCCAAGATCCCCTGGTAGTTGTAAAGAGGTTCAAAAGGTGCAGCACGTAAATTAATACGCGGTTGGTTGGTTCGAGGATAGATGGCAAATAGGGCCTGTCCTACTTTTTTTCCCTTGCCACCTCCAACCTTTAAGACATCAATGCTCAGCCGAACATCATGGTGTTTATCATTCTTGCAGAGGCCTGGGTTAAAGAAAAGACGAAAGCGGTTACAGAATAAACAGCAAAAATGAAATAGTAAAACATAGACATGGTGGCAGATAATGAATGGGAATAAGACAGTGTAAGATATAATTTTAGGGACTGTAAATTAACACGTATTCACCATTGTATTTCTTCATTCCCAAAAGACCAACTAGAAATGTACTAAACTGAAATTAGACATCTATTTACCCCCAGTAGTGCAGAATAAAGCAATTATATGAAGAAATGAGAATATTTGTCACCATATAAAACCATGGGGTAGTTTACAAAACTTGGTATGAATGCCTATCCAACATTTCTCACTGACCTTGTGGGAGAATGAAGAGGTAAGTGTTCTTTTGGAAGATGAGCGTCTCTGTCAGGTCCGCTTGTTCTACAATGTCAGACTCAGCCTGATTACTCTGGACTAGGTCACCATTGTTGACACTAAGTTGGACATTCTCCACTGAGCCGTCGAGTAATGGGTTCTCCACTCGCAGGACGAGCTGGTACTGACCAAGCTCATTAAACTGGACATCCAGAAGAAGGAATTCAAAAGAAAGGACCTTCTCATCCAACCTCAGGCGTGGAGGGCCTGGTGGAGCCGCAGTTTGTACAGCTGGAGCCGGCATTTGTAGTCATAGGTGGTTACAGCTTCATAAATACCTCCTTTTTTCTATGTGCTTTTATTGCTCTTATTTTATGCCAATTCCTTTCCCATCTACACCTCACTCATTCTCTTAGCCTTATTTGTAGCTGTGTCCACCTTCCTGCTCCCTTCACTTCTTTTCTGTCCTCTCGTCCCTTGTATGCAAGTTTTAAAGCAGTTTGCACACCTGAAAGGAGTGGTAGAGTTGGGGGGGAGGGACACATTTACCTGGCTGCTGTTTGTTTGGGACAAACCAGGTAACCAGGCTTAGAGTGCGATCTGAACAATCTCCTATTTACATATTGAAAATCAGATGGTGCATTGACAGCTGAGTGTGTGTTTGAAGAAGGGGGAGTATCCTTAGTAAGATACCTGCAGGGCACGTCAGTGTTGCTTAACATATAGTGTATAGCCATACCACAGTAATTTGTATTGTATCTGTATATTCTCTTACCTTATGTAATTATGTGCACGTTTTTTATTTTGTGAAACTTTTGTACGGAAACTTGTTAGTAAATTGTTGTATTGTACGCACATGAATGTATAAACCTTGATAACATTAACCTTAAATTGCGAGAATAAGATTCAATAAATATCAATGCTCTAGATCTAGAATGTATTTGAAAGGCAGTAAAAGCTATACATGTTAAATATTTTAAATTTCATTTTATTTTATTATTAATTCATTATTTTATGGTATGATTGACCACATATATTAACCCAGTAGCTGCCAAACTAGTCCCTCGGGGAACTGCTATATTCAAAATCTTATGCATTTCCCAGCTGACTTACATGAACTCTGGCAAAAACTTCTGTTATTTTATTTAATTTGAACCGTACTTCTCATGGCACAGCATAAATAAATGATGTACCCGTGGGTTAAGAAATCTTTTTCTCATTTCAGAGAGGATCATTGAACCAGCATAACATGCTAAAAGAATATGCATAGAACAGAAAGAAATAGTGCAATGGGTAAAATAAATATTTATTCATATAATAAGCCTCTAAAAACATACAAAAATCCAAGTGCTGAAAATAACGTGCAATGCACTATTTTTATATATTATGAATATTAGTGCAAAATGGTTCACGTACGTGCATAATCACATTCCACCCAAAATCTTTAAAGAAAGTATCACCGAAGCAAGTCTTTTCTCTGTTACAACACCCTGCACAGACTGTTTAGTGACTTCTCTTCCACAGACTGGGATGGTGCCAAGAGTAACACTTAAAGGAACACTCAAAGCACCATAACCACTAAAGTACGCTATAGTGGTTATGGTCTGAGGATTGCCATTGTATTATTTTAATAGTTTCCAAAAATGTACTCCACATACTTCCAACTGGACTTTTTCAGGATGCATTTACCTCTTACATGCACCCACATTAAAATCCTTTTGTCTTTCAGGTTGGATGTAATAGATATTTATTGAAGGGAAGAGTAGTTTTCACATTACCAATGTGGCTAAAGGAAGGGGGGGTCTCCACATGCCAGTGAAAGCCCCAGTTTTGACAAACTGCTATCAAATGATTTGGGGTAAAAAAGCATACGACAGCGCCCACAGCACGATAACTGCTACAATGTGTTACAGGCATTATAGTGTCCCTTTAGTTCTCAAATGTATTATATGTTTAAGAATGATGACTGTAGTGTATAACCAGTACCCTATTTTGGTGACAGTCACATGGGTACATAAAGGCAAGATGAGGAACTGCAGGGAACATTTCAACTTTTTGATACCTACAGGATTATTTACTTAAATGGGAATCACACAGAATTGACTAAGGAATTGTTAATTTGGCTAAATTGGCCTAAAATGCCCAAATCCCTGGTGAGTTCTGGCCTAGTGAGTACCCCAAAAAACACTGCAGACCTTTCTGTTAAGGAAAGAGTCAATTGAATTAATATTTGCTCATCTAATAAAAATGGTCCATCATTGGAAGGATAAAGAAATTCATATAACTGATGCATCATTTATTAGCTGAAGCAAGGTAAGAAGGTTATTTAAAGCTGTTGGCTAGGAGGGTGAGAGTGAAAATGAGTCAGAGAAATAGGTTCTAAAGAATGAAAAGGTGCAACACTTCAAAGTTCTAACTTAAAGGAACACTATAATGTCAGGAATACAAACATGTATTCCGGACACTATAGTGTTAATAGTGATGTTAGATTCATGATCCCCATTCCCTGCCTCAAAAAGGCATTTTACTTACCTTGTTTCCAGCACTGCGCTGGTTTCGTTATGGTTGGTCCCGCCCCACCCAGCCTCCTTGGTTGAGATCAGCAAATTTGATTATTTCAGCCAATCCAACGCTTTGCCATAGGAAAACACTGTATTGTGCCAATCAGCATCTTCTCATAGAGGAGATGAACGCTAGTGACACAGGAATCACCACTAGTGGCCGTCTGAGTAACTGCCACTAGAGGTGTTCCTAGGCAGTAATGTAAACAGTGCCTTTTATATGAAAAGGCAGTGTTTACATTAAAATGCCTTCAGGGACACAGTATTGACACTAGGGCTACTACATTAAAGGGACACTCCAGACACCAAAACAACTTAATTTGCGACCGTGGTGCCCACCACTATGTGGAGCCGCACGTTAAGGGGTCCATCGGGTGGCCCATGCTCTTAGGGCCAACCGATAGAAATTAAGATGATATCACAGGTGGGAGGAAGTCCTCCCAGCTTACAACGGGAGCCGCGCGGGAGGAAGAGGAGGGACTGGAATCAGAGTAGGACATCTGACTCCCATCAGACTGAGCCACCACTGGACCCCAGGGAAAGTCACCCTCCTGCACCTAAAAGGTAGGAAACAGGAGGGTGATTAAAACATTTTGGATATGTGTATGTGTGTTTGTGTATGTGTCTGTATGAATTTTTTTTTCTGTATGTGTGTCTGTATGTATGTGTGTTTGTATGTATGTGTGTGTGTATGTCTGTGTATTTCTGTCTGTGTGCCTGTATATGTGTATGTGTGTCTGTATGTATGTGTGTTTGTATGTGTGTGTGTATGTATGTTTGTCTGTCTGTCTGTATGTCTGTCTGTGTGTTTGTATGTATGTGTGTGTGTGTATATGTGTGTGTTTGTATGTGTGTGTGTCTGTCTGTGTGTCAGTATGTATGTGTCTCTGTGTCTGTATGTGTGTATGTATGTGTGTTTGTATGTCTGTGTGTATCTTTGTGTGTGTGTGTCTGTATGTGTGTGTGTGTGTATGTCTGTCTGTGTATGTGTGTGTTTGTATGTGTGTGTGTCGGTCAGTGTGTCTGTATATGTGTGTCTGTGTGTGTGTGTGTGTTTGTATGTATGTATGTGTCTGTATGTCTGTGTGTATGTGTGTGTGTGTCTCTGTATATGTGTGTGTGTCTATGTGCGTGTCTGCATGTGTGGGGGGGACAAAGTATGGGAGGGAGAGGACAGACGTATGGAGTGGTGGCGGATGGTAGACGTATGGGGGGGGGCCAGGGCAGTTTTCGCACCGGGGCCCCGTGGTTTCTAGTTACGCCTCTGGTTAAACCGTTCTCAAATGCATTAACCCCTAAGTTGCTGCCAGCGGTGATAGTCACTCCCTCTGGGTGCCTCAAGTGGCCTCTTAACACAATAATAACTTAATTTAGATGAATGTGTTTTGGTGTCTAGAATGTCCCTTTAAGCTGTAGTTGTTCTGGTGACTACCTTGTCTCTTTAAGAAATATCAATGCATCGTTCCTGGTTAAACGTTTTATAAATAAATATGGACTGAATGAGAAGATTACTGCAAAGTTGGATGGAGAACTGTTAATTAACCCCTTCATGACAAGTGTTTAACAAAATCTCATTATATCACAGCTGTGTTGGCAGTCCAACTGTGATGAAGGAGTTAAACAAGTTAGGTTTGAGTAGAGAAACATTCTGATGGTAAGGTAGATTGGAATGGTTTATATGCAGTTGCCCAAAGGAAGCCCAAACTTGCAGGCACTGAAATAGTTTAGTTTGATGGTTTGCAGTCAGGCAGTCAGATCCCTGTGCGTCATTCTATCTCCTTAGTACCTCTCAGCACGCTGCTGGCCCAAGACTTGGCAAGACAGATTTAGTTTTGTACTTGTGCCATAGAGGAGACTTAGCCACACTAGATACAGTTACATAAGAACCACATACATAGCCATTATTCAACGCTTAAATCTAACGAAAGTACACAAACTTACTAACCACTGGATACATACCAAAACTGCTCGATCATGTTTTATTTGTGCTCATCTTGGTTTTAGGTAAGATTCTGATTAATATAATTTTATATGTCTGGATATTATATCATGAATTACAGCAAATAGATACTTCTGGGATAATTAATGTTTTTACTTCCATTTATAACATTTTATACTAAGCATTTTATTGTCACTTTAAACCCCTTTTGAACAACATTCTATAATTACAGGGTGGGTGGATCTGCAGATGACTTTCCTAATCTATCATTTGTGGCTCTGCGGCCACTATCTGATTGTGTCTACTACAATAAGCAACGACACGCTATAATAAATAAGGACTGCCCTACTTGAAGGGGTTGTTGTGTTTTATCATTCTCTGTTATTTGAACTTAAAAATATTATAGTAAACATATCTTTGGACACAGAAAATCTCTCTTGAATGTATGATTATAGCTGGAGTAGTGTTGGGACTGACAAGGCTGTGGCTGTCCTGGGAAGGTAATTTGGAGGAGTTGGTGAGAGTCTGGGAGGATAAGGCTGATAGGAAAGTATGGATAGGGTTGGGGGGAAAAGGCAATATCGGATACCTGGAGTGGGAGTGATAGCGATACAACTGGGGAGGGTTAAAAATGTATCAAAAAGAAGAGGGATAGAGACAAAGACCCATCTAGGGAGGAGCAGACCTAAGGATCATAGAGACATGGCATTGGGCACATGAACAGCTATGGGAAAGTGGTGTGGTTGGGGATTGGAATCAATACTAAAGAAGGTGGGATGACTGAAGCATAGTTAGGGAAAAGGAGGGGACATAGACATGAAATAGGAGGTGTTCAGGGGATGGAAATACCCAATGTCAATGCATTAAGGGTGACGTGGAAAATGGCATGGATAGGTAAGGATACAATGGCTTATTGAGTATATAGAGAATGTGAATGTTACTGAAGGCTCTTCTCATAATAAACGAGGAGGAAGCACTAAGTGGATCCTGGGTAGCATAGATTTTGAATTGTAATACTTAAAAAATAAGGGCAGTTTGGCCATGCATTCGGATGTATCTGGCTGTATCGTATTCTAAGCACCATAACAACTTTGCCCTGTCTCAGAGAAAGAATAAGATATCCTTGTCCCTATGTGGCTGACTGAGGTCACCATATGCTTAAAGGGACTCTCCTTTGCCCAAATACAAAAACATTTAAAAAAAAATAGTTTTTTATTGGATATACCCCAAATGAAACATACATTAATTTAATTATGCAATTTCTGTCACTGGGTGAATATGTAAAACCGGGTTGTAAAAGCTGCAGATCTCTTGTCTGAAGCCATTGGAAGCCCTCCTCTCTAACCCTGCCCAGAATTTTTGTGTCTGTCCAAACAGCTCAATGAGAAGTCTTTGCAAGTCAGGTGCTCTGAACAATTGCTGCCTCTTGAATTTACTTCCACTGAGCGAAACAACTAGTTAGTAACAGGACCTGTTATCTGATTTACAACCAAGTGGGTGGGGAGGGGAGCGTGTAACAAGGTAAATTTATAAAAAGTGCTAATTTCCATTGAAATATGCACTATTTATAAAATAAAATAAAAAAGGACACACCCTTTACACTTAAAGCACTTAAGCAAACTAAAGTGCTTTAAGGATCTGAAGTGTCCCTTTAAGCCTGCCCCTTTCTCACAGTGATTTGCAAAAACAGCTGCAGCTTTAAAGGGACAGCTCATGGAAGTGGTCTTGGTGCAATGTCCCTGTCCCTTAACCCTTCAGTGGTAATTTTAGCAGTTTCTGAGAAACTGCAATAATTACCTCTCAGGGTTAACTCACCGGAATCCCCATAAGAAAGCATTGACTAATGCTTTCCTATGGGGAAATTCTAATTTGACCACGGCCATTTCCGCGCATGCGCATTACTTCTTCCCCGCCAGCTGACGTCGGTGGGGGGTGAGCGTAGGTGGAGCCAGACCCAGTGTCAAGGGTCATCGGTGCTGGATTCAGGATCCTGCAGTGCCCCCTTTCCTCACACCACGGGAGGGGTTGGCACTAGGAAGGGGGACACTGTAGAATCCTCTAGTGTCAGGAAAACAGCTTTGTTTTCTTGGCACTATAGAATCCCTTTAACACTGGGCTAGCATATGCTCATACGAAACCTGTACTCTCTGCTCCTAGTGGCTACCTTAAATCACTGCACATGATGAGTTCAAATTACTGATCATTAATTATGTAACTGATATGACGCTGGAGATTTGCAGCAAATTCAGACATTGCAATGGTGAGGGTCAATTTTCATAAAATAGTTTTTTAAATGTAACATATTTTGCACACATTATTTGTATAACACATAGATAAGGAGCTCAACTCCAACCTGTAAGGTCCCTTTTTTGATGGACGCTAGGTGTTGGTATTTGGAGGAAGAAACTGCATTGAGTCATCGAATTTTAGTTTTCTTTCCCATGAGGTCAAGAGGGTGTTTGGGTAAGTGTAGCGGAGAAGTGGTGCAGTTAGGCTTAATTTTGCATTGTCTCTCTCTCTGTCTGTGCGACTGCTTCATTCAGTGTCTAGCTCTGCCCTCAATATGAGACTTTTTAAAGAAAAGGATTCAATGTGAAGCATTGAGGAGACCAAGAGAAACATCCAAATCAAATGTCAAAGTTAATTGATCATGTAGATTCTATTGAAATGAAATCTGATGAAGACAAAGTGAATCTAATTTTATCAAGTTTTTCAGAAATCTAGAATGCTCTCTGTAAATTACGTTACAGTTTGGCGAGCTGTAAATGCTCTGGTGAAACACAATCATTTCCAATACAAAAAGGCTGAGAAGCATACCATAGGAAACAAATCAATTTATCGCAGCAGCAAAGGCAATACGTTTGCACACAAAAGGGCAAAGATAAAGAATTTTTTATTTGTGAAGATAAATCTCAATCTCATCTCACTAGAAACTGCTTTTAAAAGTCTACTATAGACCATAAAGGCCTCTACATAGAAGAAGATAATACAGTAAAAGCACTTGTGACAGATCCATCTGTATAGACTAAGATTGCTGGTTCGTCTGTTTTGCCTCTTTTCGTGGAATTACCTGTTCGTATGCCCCTGTTCGTTTATTTGACGTTTTTACAGAATGAACTTACCGAATGGACGGCCACCCAGAAGAGAAGTGTGCTGCTGGTTAACCTCTTGATCCCAATTAGAACGTTGTGGTTAACCGCAGACACCTCTCAATTAAAACCGAATACAGGGTGGTCGTCGTTCGTATGTCGACCACGAGGCGGCGGCCATTTTAAACCGTGCGAAGGACCAGCGGTGTTCGGCACAGATTCTATGGAACTAAAAACAGACACTTTTTCTGCCGAATACCGCTAAAACCACAGACCGCCCTTCTCAGTCGACAAAAGCATGCGAACATCGGCCGTTCGGGAGTTTGGACTACACAAATGGGCTTAACCCATATAGCCTTCCCATGGAGTCAATCGCATACCGAAAGACTGTAAAAGACTTTGACTCCATGGCAATTGAACTGTACTTATGGGATCTGAGTGCTATTCACTAAGAATATGCACTCAGATCCAGGCTATTTGGGGATACATTGCACGAATGGAGTATATTCGGTAGTTGTATAATTATGTATTTTTATGTGGTTTTTATGTTTCATCTAAAATGTCGATTTGCCTCTGTCCTGGGAGATAATTGAATTACTTCTCAATTATCTCCAGGGCAGAGGGGAGGAAACCATGATGCATGCTGGAAATATTATGTGCCTGTGTGTCCTGAAATGCTGTATGTCCATCTGCCATTACAGTCTCCCATTTGGTCCCCTAGGGGAGTGTCCACCAAGTGGGAGACCTGCATAAATACGGGCGGGTAGCCCACAGTAAACCCAGTTCTTGTTTTACCCTCAATGCGGAGCTTGGTCTCGTTATTGGGGGATTTACTACACACGAATAGCGACTGATTGCTGGAACCGTAAGCCGCTTGGGAGATATATTGATTCGGCTGTTAGCAGCGATTCGTGGGTTTACCGCTCGAGAGCTGGAGTATCTGTACAGGTCCCGTTCGGGAGGTTAGCGCATTCGCCTGCTTGCAGTTCATACGAGTGGAGTCTATACGAATGGAGTTTACAGCACTGCGAGCGGGGAGGATTAACTAAACGGCGGTTTTTACTGTTTGATGCTGAGGGTGCCATTACAGCACTTTAATTGCATTATATAGACATAGAGACACAGGCATACAGAGCAGGGGCAGATCCTAATCTCAGGAGGGGGACTGGTAGTGGGTTGTAGTGGGGTGATAGGGGATGTGATTGAGGAGTTAGGGGCTGTAGTAGGGGGCTAGGGCCTGTAGTGGGGTGGGGGGGCAGGAAATGTAGTGGGGGGACAGGGGCTGTAGTCAGGGCCGGCGCAACCGTTAGGCAAACAAGGCATTCGCCTAGGGGGCTGGCCTGCTGGCGGCGCCCACCGGGCTGGTCTGCTGGGGGCGCCAACCTGTCCTAGGCCGAAGCATTGGGCGAGCAGCTCTAGAGCAGCCCCTCCCCTCAGCACGGGGCCAGTCCTCCAGGCGCCCGAAAATGGGGGTGCCGAGAGAAGCCCTGTCACAGGGGGCCAAGGAGGTGACCATTTTGCCACCTCAGGGCGCCCCTGAAGCTGTACTTCAGTATGGCAGAGCAGGCACTTGCTTAGCCTGATGGCAGGTGCCTTCTCTACCAATGAATGCCGGTGGAGGAGGCACGCGGCGGCAGTGTGGGCGGCGAGGGAGGCTCTTCTTGCAGCTCCCCACTCCTCCCTCGCACGCCCTCTGTGATGCCGGAAGCCGGAATATGATGTCGTTCCGGCCCTGGCATACTAAACAGCATGCTGGAGGAGTGAGGAGCTACCACACACTGGACCCCATGGAGGTAGGGAGTCTGGATGTCAGAGTCTGTGTGTCAGTGAGTGTGTGAGTGTTTGACTGTGTTTGATTGTCAGTGAGAGTGTTTGTGTCTGCCTGTCAGTAAGTGAATGTATATGTGTGTGACTGTTTACCTGAAAGTGTGTGTGTGTGTCTGTCAGTGTGTGTCTGTCAGTGAGTGATTGTATGTATGTATGTGAGTGTCTGTCGGGAAGTGAGTGTATGTATGTCAGTGAGTGAGTGTATATATGTCAGTGAGTGTCTGTCTGTCTGTCTGTGTATGTCTGTCAGTGAGTGTCTGTGTGTCTGTCAGTGAGTGAGTGCATTCCTGTCAGTGAGTGTCTGTGAGTGAGTGAGTGCATATCTGTCAGTGAGTGTCTGTCAGTGAGTGCATGTATGTCTGTCAGTGAGTGTATGTCTGTAAGTGAGTGTGTGTCTGCCGGTGTGTGTCTGTCAGTGAGTGAGTGACATGAGGGTGCGGCAAAATGGATCTTTGCCTAGGACGGCAGAAATCCTTGCACCGGGCCTGACTGTAGTTGAGGGTTAGGAGCTGTAATTGGAGGGTTATGAAATGTAGTCGGGGATAGGGACTGAAATAGGTTGACTGCAATTAGGGAAAGGAGCTGTAGTGTGGGGGATATGGGCAGCATTCAGGGGAGAGGGGCTGTAGTGGGTGGATATGGGACAGTAGTGGGGATAAGGACTGTAGTAAGGGAATAGGGAAAAGGGGTTTAGGGGCTTCACATGGGGTAAGAGAGGCTGTAGTGGAAGGGATGTTCCCTATATCCAGAGGCCTTACCTGCGTTCCCTGTATCCAGAGGCCTTACCTGCTTTCCCTGTATCCAGAGGCCTTACCTGCTTTCCCTGTATCCAGAGGCCCTTCCCTGAGTTCCCTGAATCCAGAGGCCTTACCTGCTTTCCCTGTATCAGGGCGCCCTTCCCTGAGTTCCCTATATCCAGAGGCATTACATGCTTTCCATGTATCCAGAGGCCCTTCCCTGAGTTCCCTGTATCCAGAGGCCTTACCTGCTTTCCCTATATCCAGATGCCCTTCCCTGAGTTCCCTGTATCCAGAGGCCTTACCTGCTTTCCCTGTATCCAGAGGCCTTACCTGCTTTCCCTGTATCCAGAGGCCCTTCCCTGAGTTCCCTGTATCCAGAGGCCTTACCTGCTTTCCCTGTATCCAGAGGCCTTACCTGCTTTCCCTGTATCAGGGCGCCCTTCCCTGAGTTCCCTGTATCCAGAGGCCTTACATGCTTTCCCTGTATCCAGAGGCCCTTCCCTGAGTTCCCTGTATCCAGAGGCCTTACCTGCTTTCCCTATATCCAGATGCCCTTCCCTGAGTTCCCTGTATCCAGAGGCCTTACCTGCTTTCCCTGTATCCAGAGGCCTTACCTGCTTTCCCTGTATCCAGATGCCCTTCCCTGAGTTCCCTGTATCCAGAGGCCTTACCTGCTTTCCCTGTATCCAGAGGCCTTACCTGCTTTCCCTGTATCCAGAGGCCTTACCTGCTTTCCCTGTATCCAGATGCCCTTCCCTGAGTTCCCTGTATCCAGAGGCCTTACCTGCTTTCCCTGTATCCAGAGGCCTTACCTGCTTTCCCTGTATCCAGATGCCCTTCCCTGAGTTCCCTGTATCCAGAGGCCTTACCTGCTTTCCCTATATCCAGATGCCCTTCCCTGAGTTCCCTGTATCCAGAGGCCTTACCTGCTTTCCCTGTATCCAGAGGCCTTTCTGCTACATTTAGTTATCTGTGTTTATATTTTATTTAACTGTCTTTCGTGTAAATATCAATATACTTATTTTTTGCCTTGATTTGTGTGTATATTGGTTTATTTGCATGTTGGGTTACATCATATAGAGGTTGCTGCACTGGTCAACACCCCTTCCTAACTAGACCCCTGACATAGACAATCATCCAGAAAGAACATCCTGTCCTACCTTACAACCATATGAACCCTCATCTTGGAGTGATATTGATCAACGTCATACTACAGAAGCCTCCAAGTGGAAAAAAGCACCAAAAAAGGAAATTTTACACAAAAAATGTCTCCCAAATTTACCTAAACGGAAGAAGGTCATAGGTTGCAAGTGGGTAGTTAAGCAAAAACTGGATGCAGATAGAAATGTAATTCATTAGAAAGCTAGTTTAGTAGCAAAAGGATTTACACAGAAGTATGGAGAAGACTACAATGAGTATTTTACACCTGTAGTCAAGGCACAATCAGAACATTACTAACTACCGCAGCATCTAAACTGTCAGCTTTCTTGTTATCTGGTTGATCCCACTGAGCCAATCTATGTATGGAGATCTTTGAACCGCAATAACATGCACAAACTCACAAAGTTGAAAGCTAGCAAAGGCGCTGCACAAATCCTGCCAACAGACATCCCTATGGACCTTCTGCTATTTTAAACCACAGAAGAATGATGTGAAGCTGCAGCCCACAACCTCTGTATGCAGTTGGCCCATGGGGCATTTGCCCTCAGACACCCTTGTTAGCCCTCCCATGTTTTCTGCATATTTAATTGCAAATAATTTCAGCTCTGCCTTGTTCTTGGCCGCACCCAGTATTCTCTTTGATCTGTCCTGGAATACCCTCTTTTCATGAAAGATAAAAAAAACAAAGGAGAGAGCAGAACTTGTTTCCCCAGTGATGGAATTTCATTATTTTCACAAACTTTTTAGGCAATAGAGTTGAGCGAACCCGAACCGCAAAGTTCGGGTTCGTACCGAACATTAAGTTTTTTGGACCCCGGACCCAAACACGGACATATCACTGTATGTTCGGGTTGGAGTTCGGTGTTCGGCGATTTAATGGCGCGTTTGGAAAGGCTGCATGGCAGCCAATCAACAAGCATTTGACTCGTTTGCCCTTAGAAGCCATCAAAGCCATGCCTACTAATGGCATGGCTGTGATTGGCCAGTGCAGCATGTGACACAGGCTCTATATAAGCTGGAGCCTATTAGTGTAGGGAGAGGATGCTGCAGCTGTTAGGGACAGATTAGAAAATAATTCTGAAAACTAGTACATTACTGGGGTGCACTTCATATCTGAGAGTCAAATAGAGGCGTCAAATACTGCGGTTACATCAGAGTTTTAAAAAGTACAAATTTTTTTGGTGCTTAATAGTACATTTTGTGGGTGCTAATCTGCTAAACAGTAAATTTGGGGTGTGCTCTTCATATCTGAGAGTCAAACAGAAGTGTCAAATACTGCGGTTACAGCGCACTTGTAAAAATTCTAATTGTTTTGGTGCTAAACAGTAAATTTGGGGCGTGCTTTTCATATCTGAGAGTCAAATAGAACCGTCAAATAGTGCTGTGACATAGCATTTTTAAACATTCAAATTTTTTGGCTGCTAAATAGTACATTTGCGGCCTGCGGTGCACTTCATATCTGAGAGTCAAATAGAACTGTCAAAAACTGTGCTTTCAGTGCACTTTGAAAATTTCTAATTGTTTTGGGTGATAAAAAGTAAATTTGGGGTGTGCGCTTCATATCTGACAGTCAAATAGAACCGTCAAATTCTGTGGTTACAGAGCAGTTTGACCAATTCAATTTTTTTTGGGTGCTAAATAGTACATTTGCGGCCTGCACTTCATATCTGACAGTCAAATAGAACCGTCAAATACCAATATAACAATATTGTAATTCTGTGGCAATACCCTCACAAGTCAAACTGAGACGTCAGTTTATAGGGAAAACTG